CGCGCAGCACTAAATTTAGGAAGTTTGCTCGTAGCACGGGACTCTTTACTTACTGTTGAGACTAAGCAGAACGTCATATAAATGCTACAGGATGTGTTGTTACTATAATGTTTGAGGTCTACATGCATTCGATCGCAAGTACAAATTTCGTATTTTTTTATTAGTAGCATGATGATCCACTGCAATTCATTATTATCCACCTTATTTTTTACATTACATGGAGACAACGCCTCAAATGTCCACCACATAGGCGCAAAATGGCTATTGTGTTGACGCGCCTTTAACCGCAAATAAACAACAGCCCACCCCACGCTCCAAAACGGGAGACGTGTTCAGCGCCCGCTCTCCCCAAGTGGCGTGCATCGGACGCGTCCGTACGCCGAGCAGCACTCTTCACTGGTTGATCAGACACCACGCCGACCCTACTTGAGCCGGGCCTGTGGACACCAAGCTGGCGCCTAGCCCGAGCCCGGTCACTTTCAAGGCATGTGGTCCAAGGGCCGGCCCGGCATGAAACTGAGAGATGGTTAAACATTTGCTCTACCTTGTTGGAGGTGACCTTGACATTGCTTTGATGTAAATGTTAATACATGCCACAAATGAGCAGCCAATTTACAATGTGGGCATGCTTTGGTTGTCATTTTGTTACGCGTGGCTAAACCGGCATTGCAAAAATTACCAGACAAAAGAAACAGGTACTCGACAGGTATTCGCCCCGATGGTACTGATAATTCATGGTCGTGAAAAACTGTCAAACAAAGAATGACCCTCTTATGGCTGTTTCCGGGACATCAGTGTAGGGATATAGTGCGGATAGGGATAGTGTATCAGTGTAGGGATATAGTGCGGGTAGGGATAGTGTGTCAGTGTAGGGATATAGTGCGGGTAGGGATAGTGTATCAGTGTAGGGATATAGTGCGGGTAGGGATAGTGTATCGGTGTAGGGGTATAGTGCGGGTAGGGATAGTGTATCAGTGTAGGGATGTAGTGCGGGTAAGGATAGTGTATCAGTGTAGGGATATAGTGCGGGCACGGATAGAATATCAGTGTAGCGATATAGTGCGGGTACCGATAGTGTATCAGTGTAGGGATATAGTGCGGCGAACATGATTGAGGGAAGAAATGCGATCGTTGTCTAACGAGTCTAGTGCGTATATGCTGTACTTTGCAGCCACCTCAAACTGGGAACATGCTGGCAATTGCCCTGGGGCACAGTATGAACGAACCCAACAGAGCTATTGATCCGAAGCATGCTTATGTGACTAACCCGCCTCGGAATTATCTGAAACCAGTGCCTTTGAGCCCATTGCCACGAGCAGGAGCACGCCAAGGTACCACTGATGACTGAGGGCACGGGAAACTGCCTGCCAAACTGTCAGATACCTGAGCTCAGAAAATGCGATGAAGTCTGGGCCTGGAAAAGCTACCAGATGGGACATTGTTAGTGTAAAACGCATTGCCATGCAACAATTTCAACGCTGGACAATAATGCACGATGATACAACTGCGTATTATAAAAGTTGTACATCATCCTGCTGGTAGGGTCACTCAATAGGGCCATGTTTTGTAATTTTCACTGAAAAACATGCTGTATAATGTAGGCAAATGAACTGGCTACAACTGGCTGATGGATCTTAAAGCTGTCCTACCCACAGGCTCGCCAGCAGTCGGCCGGAGAGCGGCCCGTGACACCTTCTCCGAAGCTGTTCTACCCACAGGCTCGCCAGCTGTCGGCCGGAGAGCGGCCCGTGTCACCTTCTCCGAAGCTGTTCTACCCACAGGCTCGCCAGCAGTCGGCCGGAGAGCGGCCGGTGTCACCTTCTCCGAAGTTGCCCTACCCACAGACTCGCCAGCAGTCGGGCGGGGAGCGCCCGGTGTCACCTTCTCCGAACCTGCCCTACCCACAGGCTCGTCAGCAGTCGGCCGGAGAGCGGCCTGTGTCACCTTCTCCGAAGTTGCCCTACCCACAGACTCGCCAGCAGTCGGCCGGAGAGCGGCCTGTGTCACCTTCTCCGAAGCTGTTCTACCCACAGGCTCGCCAGCTGTCGGCCGGAAAGCGGTCCGGGTCACCTTCTCCGAAGCTGGTATTCCAGAGTTGATCGTGAGCAATATTTGCTGTAAACATTTGGGGTTTTTGCAGTGATTTTCAAAAAAAGAAAACAACAAAATTCCAGCTTTAAAACCAAAGAAAAGCACCATCACAACTGTATCAACTACTTTGATCAGAACAGCCCAGCAGGGGCATCATAATTGGTGATCAGACCATTACAACTGCCGATCGGGGCGTCATAAGTGCCGATCAGAGCGTCATAACTGCCGATCAGAGCGTCATAACTGCCGATCAGAGCGTCATAACTGCCGCACAGAGCGTCATAACTGTCGATCAGAGCGTCATAACTGCCGCACAGAGCAACATAAGTGCCGATCAGAGTATCACAACTGCCGAGCATACCATCACAAACGCTGAACCTACTATCACAACCACAGAGCAGAGCACCACAACTTCCGAGCGTACCATGAAAATTGTCCAGCATACCACCACAACTGCCGGGCATACCATGAAAATTTCCAGCATACCACAACTGCCGGGCATACCATGAAAATTTTCAGCATACCACAACTGCCGGGCATACCATGAAAATTTCCAGCATACCACAACTGCCGGGTATACCATGAAAATTTCCAGCATACCACCACAACTGCCGGGCATACCATTAAAATTTTCAGCATACCACAACTGCCGGGCATACCGTGACAATTTCCAGCATACCACAACTGCCGGGCATACCATGACAATTTCCAGCATACCACCACAACTGCCGGGCATACCATCACAACTGCATCGTCAGCAGTCCGACCGGGCTCAGTCCGCCATTGGCAAGCAAATGAGGCATGGATTTGCGAGTGAGAGCAACATCATGCGACAGTGAAACTTTCCCTGTTAATTATCATGGAAGACATACTTTCTAATGCATTGGCGAAAGCTGTGGGTGTCGGCTGCCGAAGTGGCTGGTTGCATTTATTTAACTTTTGGTGACTGCGTAAAAACTTCATGAATGAATGATTGAATATAAAGATAAATGAATGTTAATATGAATGGATGAAGACATGAATGAATGAATACATAGATGTATGAATGCATGCATGAGTTCATGGCCCATGGTTCGTGGTTCCGGTTAATGAAGAACCTTTAGATTTGTTGTCAGCTAGAGGGCTTTACGTTAGATTCTCTGTATTGGTCTGCCATGCGTCGGTTGATTTTGAAGCAGTGCAGCTCCGCGTGGCTTCGCCCCGGCCCATGGGCCATCTGGCCCGTGGCCAAGACCAATGCCGAAGCATGACGGTGGATACCAGAGCTGTACCTATCTGAATTCTTGTCACACGAGGCAAACATCACACCACCGCTAATCAGCACTCCTTGTGGTCGACATTGGCTTTGTATATATCTTATCCTTTCACTTACGGCAGCTGGTTAAAAAAACAACGCGCTTTTCTTTCCTAGTTTTATTTCCTCCCCATATTCTGGTTTTTCAATAGACATGCACCCAATGTCGGCATCCAAAGTACAGTCTAAGATATATGACAGACCTCACGTAACAGACTTATCGATCGACAGACGCGGCACAGCCGTCGCTGGCGTGCTAGATTCAAGGTTTGTTTGCTGCACACCAGTGCTGACTGGTGTGCAGTTAGCTGCTAGAGACGCATTCCTTGCACGAAATGGTGAGCATGCGTAACGCTCGCACTGTCGCACACGTTTGCTCCCCTAGCCCCTCCGTGCAGCTACGTTGACAGTATTGGTTATGCAGTCACCAAAACGCTCAGGTCAACAGCACCAGGCTTCTGAAAACATAGGGATTAAGGTGGATTTGAGTTGTAGCGGAACATCCCAAGAGTCATGCGAGTGCGAAAACCACTAAAATTTTGGCATTTAAGCTGTTCACCGCATGTTTAGAGCTTCAAAAGACATTTTGCTTTCCTCTGATATGCCGTGTTATAATGTCGTAGCCGCGCGTCCGCCGATTGCCCATTTGGGAACTTGAGTACGGAAACACCTGTCGTGTCCCAGCCCCAGCCTAGAAAACTGAATGACATTTTCACATTCTTCGAAAGAAAGAAAAGTCGGTATATGACTGACTTCCTATGAAATCACTCGGATTAGAGTATTTGGTTAAGTAATTGACAGTGATCGAAGCTGTTTTGAGTTCAGTTCCGTCTGTGCTCTTATCTCACGTTGCTCTGTTGTCCCTTAACACGCGCTCGAGTGGGGGTCAATTTACCCCTTGGTTGCACCCCTTGGAATTTGGTTGTACCCTGTAGTACCCTGGTTGTACTTCCGGCAGGTCAAAGTGAGGCTATAGATTCAGAAATGTCAATTTCTAGGGAATCGTTCAATCTGATGCAACAACGTTAAAAGTGTTAGACAAGGCCATACATCTCCGAGATACTTTCTTAGGCAATACAACAATTGAATGAACAAATTCAATTAGCCTAGGGTCAAGAATGGAGATCAGACAATAGCCAAAGAACAGCCGCTTGGTTACTCCGGATCTTGCAGTATGGATACTTTCTGGTGCCCGTTTTAGATTTATTGATTACAATGAGCCGCATGATACGCCTTCCAGGAACTTTTTAAAGGTCAGAATAGGTTACTGATCTAAAATGTCCAAGGTCAACATTATACTTTAAGAATATACTGCCTAGCACAATCTTGGTCACTTATCAAATACAAATTGTGCATTGGTGCAGATCTTGGTGGTAGTAGCTAATACACAAGCAAGATCCCTGTGGACCGATGTGGAGAAGGGTTCCCCGCGAACAGTACTTGGACGCGGGTGAGTCGGCCGTAAGACAACGGGTAATTCCCGCATCCCGTGTTGCTGGCCAATCATTAGCGAATAACATGGGTTGATGGCGAAAGGTAATGCGGTCAATATTCCGCAACCGGACGCGGGCACAACGCCCAATTGTTGTGACCATGTCGGAAAGAAAAAAACGCCTTCATCTCCAAAATGTGTATTAGAATGCAATGCCACAGTCTCGTCGTGAACGTTGACCGATCACATGGTCAGGAGAGAAATCACCCTCGGAGTATGTGAGCATCATCATCACCATTTTTTGACATCACTGCTACCAAGGATACCAAGACGGCTTTCCGACACTGCATCCAACCAAACCACAGTTCATCGTTTGTGACCAGGATACCATGTCGCGCTGTGCGAATTAATGCGTGATCATTTGTCTCACGGCCCGGCTTCGTGACGGCCGATCTGACAGTTCGGCAGCGTGACGGCCGATCTGACAGTTCGGCGGCGTGACGGCCGATCTGACAGTCCGGCAGCGTGACGGCCGATCTGACAGTCCGGCAGCGTGACGGCTGAGTCATGGAAGCCGAATCCTGCGCCCATTCTCGAGTCCGCATTGTGACCGTTATCTGTACGCCTGCCGGTTTTGTGGTTGCTCAGTCGCAGACCGACAACGTCAGTCCTCCCGTGACTCTCCGCTTCGGACGCAGCTCTACGCCGACTCTTTTGTTTGGCGATCAATCATGTCATAACCGAATTGTTCGAACATGCACGGCGTGGAAACGGGTTGAGCCGGGCTGGTCGGGTCGGCCATGGTCCCCTCACGTTCCGTGTGTCCGTGCGTACGATGACGAGAGAAAAGGCCTACCTCTGATACAAGGCCCGCCCATTTTAGACACGATCATACGCCCGTATGGACGCGGAACTGCGTGCCCATAGCTGCGGCTTTGTGCCTATTCAGTGTGCCCTCCACCTTCATCTGTGCCTCATATTCACGCGAAGTCATCTCGCACTTAAATAATCACGTCGTTGAAGAATACCAAAAACAGCAAAAATACGACGTGCCCTTGCCATCCCGCGATTAATTTTACAAAGTGCAGACTCGGTCCCTGGACGTAACATTGTCCTGCCGCGCGTTGATGCTCCAGTTTCGTTACTTATGCGCGCGAGCACGTGACGGCCCGGCTGTTTGCCGACACTGTGCGCTGTTTCCGCCTACCAGCCGTGACGTTCATCCGCAGGAGCACCGGGTCGCCAAGTCGGGGTGGGGCGGTGAAGCGACGGTTACGCCCCGGGCTGTGCGGCGGCGGGCGGCTCGATGGCTCCGTTCCTCGCCTTGTCACCGTCGCCACCGTTGCCGCTCAGGCTCTGCGTGACAGACTCGATGCCGTGCGTCCACGTCTGGAACCGGTCGAACTGAAGCGTGCCGTTGATGCGCACGCGGCTGATGCCACCGTCGGGAGACATGGTGATGCGTACGTACGTCATGGGTGCGTGCGGCAGGATGTCGTCACCCTGGAAGAGGTGCTGGTGGTGCGGCTGCATCTGTTGGGCGATGCGGACAGCAGTGTCAGCCTGTGTCGTTCAGGGCGAACAGTATCGTCACCAGCCGACATGATTAATGCCGTAGCTTTACGACGCACTCAGCAGCTGAGACTGCATGGTGTGGCCCGTTGCTCACCCTTGCAGGGAGGGCGGAAGACCCAAACCGCGAATCAAACCTCGCACAATGTCGCTCACAGCTGACCGAGCACGCCATTTTGCTCCAAGTGATTTATATCTGGCACCGCACGTACACACTTTCCTGGTTCCCCACCCAGCCTGGCCTGGGTTCTTGCGTGCTCTCCACTCCGGCCACGCGGCAGTGCCTTGCTGCGAAGCACCGCGGGAATGCCGGCAGGCAGCGAAAGCCCGGGCATGCCACACCGGCCAGTGGACGGTCGGACTTTAGGGGCAGAGAGCTCGTCTTGTTTGGTTGTACTGACGCGGAAAGTCAGCAGGTGACCAGCCAGAGCTTCAGTCTGGTCCTGGACGGTGTCTTCACGGGGTTTAGCACGCACAAACTCTGCACTTCTGTCCGACAAAAAATGCAGGATAAAAACGAGTGAAAGAACTGATCAGCCCGCCACGGGCGCCGATCTCTGGGTATGCCGAATGAGGTCTGCCCGGTAAATGCTCTAAACCCAGGGCGACCCATGCAGGTCCCTCGAAACCAGTATGCATTAGAGAACCTTCTGTGGATGCAGTATCGGTGTCCAGTTGTAGTATGTATCCAGGTGGTCCTCGGTGTAGCGCTCCACATCGCAGGCGTCCACCTTCACGGCGTCCGGAAAGTTGCCCTTGAAGTGGCACGTATCTATCTCGATCTCCATGATGCTGCCGCGATGGCCCAGACGGAAGATGGCCCACTCCTGACCGGGCACCCGCAGCACGCCGCGAGCGTCGGCTGCACAGAAACACAGTGGCGTCAGATGGGTGCCTGCGCAGCGCACCACGCAACATTGCCAGCTCGACAAACAAACCAAACACAGGAAATCGATGAAAACAAAAGCTGTTTTATGCAAGGTGATACAACAGTGGCTTAGCAAGCGTTTGAACGCGTCGAACATCATGACATCCCAAGCTCAAAATCAGTAGGCCCAACGTTACACTAAAGGGGCATATTTGCTAGCTCGGAAGATTCCGTTACGAACTGGGAGGTTCCTGCTCGGGCTAAGGAGGCACCCGGTATGTTCAGGAGGCCCCATTCCTGGATCATAAGGCACTTTCATGCACCAAATGGCCGAGGTTCCGGATCAGGATGCCTTATTTTGGATAACTAGGTCACTTGGTTAGATTTAGAGACCCCTTCCGTGAATGGGAAGCCTCCTATCAATACGTTATCAGAGAATCAGATAACCATGCAGATAATCAGAAGGCCCAATACCGGATTTTCAATCGTCGATATTTTTAACTTGCATATGGCACTCATAAACATTTGACAATGGGGCACATGTCCTCCGTGCAGCTCTCCCTTGAATACGACACTGTCCAGGACGCCACTCTGTGAGGAGACCCCTGGAAAATCCTTGCCCTCGCACCCCCCCCCCCCCCTCCCTCAAAAGTCGTGGCGTCGTTCCTGGGAGCACCTGTGTTCAAAGTTCCTGGAGGTTTAGATAAATTGAACAAAATAAACCAAAAGTACTTATTTTCATTCAATACTTCTCCAATGAAGGTCCCAGTACGCACCAAAGTTCTTTCCGAGCACAATCTCACATGTCCAATAGAGCGAGTCGGCCCAGGCCCTGACCTCGGCGGCCTGCCCTCGAGGACCGCAGCCCAGTCGGACAGCACCCCGGCTGGTCACCCTCGAGGATGGCGAGTCGACCCAGGCCCTGACCTCGGCGGCCTGCCCTCGAGGACCGCAGCCCAGTCGGACGGCACCCCGGCTGGTCACCCTCGAGGATGGCGAGTCGACCCAGGCCCTGACCTCGGCGGCCTGCCCTCGAGGACCGCAGCCCAGTCGGACAGCACCCCGGCCACTGACCTTCGAGGATGGCGGGCCGATCCAGACGGCGCGCCGTCTCCCAGCCGTCGCCCATGTTGGCGCCGCGGCCGGGTGCGATAAGGTTCCGCGGGTGGCCGTAGTGGGCGTTCGAGTGCGCCACGCACACGCCGCCGGTCTTGGCCAGGATGAGGTCGACGACCTGCCACAGGCAGACGACTGCTGCCGGTGAGAGCGCCGGAGATCGCAAACCGATGGCCGGCTGCGACGTCAGTGATGAGGACGCTCGTGATGCAGGCCCATGCTGATGGCGAAAGTTTTTCTAACACGCCGACGGCCAGGGATTATCACGGCAGGACAGAATTACGAGCTGGTCGACCCGTAAAATCCCATTAACAATAACCAGCTTGCCCATCTCAGCCTGCTACAGCGAAGGCTCGCAAGTTTCCACTCCCTCGGGGGCTGGCCGGGCACGATGTCTGGTGACGTACGCGGTAGTTCAGAGGGCCCCGCCGTCATGGAAGCTGAGTCGGTCGCTCCGTCCTCCCATCATGCCGCCCTGTCACTTCCCACATTTCGCAACTGCACGGCGGCGAGGTGACGGATATACATACATTCAGCATTCAATAGTTAGAGTTATCAATATTCACCCGTACTATATATATATATATATATATATATATATATATATATAATTCGTCAACGTTTCGATATCTTGTGTAACATCATCAGCATCATCATCATCAGCAGCACAAGAGAACAATGGTAATGTTATGTCATTGGGGCTTTACGACGCACTCAGCTTCTGAGGCTATACGGCGTCGCCTGCCTCTCACCCTGGCAGGAAGGGCGGGTACCGCGGGGAATCGAACCCTGTACCTCTGGTTTCCCAGACGGGCAGTGGTTGACCGAAATGCATTAACCACTACACTACCGGTACCCCACAAGAGAGCAATGGTACAATGTGTAAAGTTAACACAGTTCAACACGACCTCTCTGGGTGTACACAGGACAGCTTGAAAAACATAAAAACCAAGCGACGAAATATCTTTTTGACTCAGTGTGAAATGGATGCGTTATAATTCACGAAGGATATGCAGAACCCATGGCATCCGATGCCAGCTTTTTGGCAAAAATGAAGCGAGTCTAGAAGTATAAGATCGAGAGATTACTGCAATACCCTAATACGGACAACTTTTAATGTTAAATTAAGCGTCACACACCAATAAATGGTCTCAGATGGACGACAGGTCTAGCTAAGAAAGAGCATTACCTATACGGTCAGACCTAGCCAAATGTTGCTGTAGTCTGCAGTGCAGCCTACAAATGGTTGAACCCACGTCAGATGTTCCACACAAAGCACGACAACATTTAGAAATGACGGCAGAGACAGAAACTTCGAACCGTTCTGTCAACGCACTCAGAAATCGTGTTGAGTTGTGCTAATTTTTAACTTTGAGCCATTGAACTCTTGCCCTGACGACAAAAAGCGATGTATTGAAACTTTGACGAACAACATAACTGATGGCGATCCTTGCCATCGAATTTTTACTTCGTCTTGCTATCCGAGGATGTTCCAATCTCTGCGCCGGTAGTGTAAGATTCAAACACGGAATCCCGCTTCATGCTACATGATACAAGAAGCTAGACATGGGTATGCTGCAGCAACTGGACTTGTAATCGAAAATTTATGAGTAGCGACCTAACAGGGTGTGTGTATATAAATGAACTACTTAAACTCACGCACAAATATGCAAAAGCACCACGAGAAATAGTCAAAACACGGGCCCATAACGATATTCCCTTCAGCAAACATGTCCAGCGGCGCCACGTCCATTTGCCGGCGAGTTGATGCACACACAGGACTGCTGGGGCGCTAATTTTGCGTGGCTAATTTGGCAGCACCTCTAATATCATACAAACGTTACAATACGCAACCATATAATGACCGTTTTTCTACTTAAAGGCATATTAATAGCTACAAGTGAGCTCATTTCATCACATCTAATGCCTGCCTTAATATCTTCAAATGTGAAGTATTCCGTTCAAGTCGATTTGACTTGACTTGACCACGGAATGCCTTTCTAGCTTCCTTCGTAAGCACGTTTCTCTTCAGTTTAATTAACCCAGATTAACCTGGAGACACCTTGCAGCATGAGGTGTTTGTGGCTGGGCCACGACGTTATGAAAACGGCCAGTTTACAGAGAGTGATGTAAGATGGCAGACGGTCGGCCAACCCTCTACAGACGCGCTTGAACACGAGACTGACTGGTCCACTAATTTGGCGCGTCAGCGGGACCTCGCTCAAGCTCAGAGCCGACGATGATCATCTTTCACCAGCGCGCCGACGCGCTCTTGCGCGGCCGCCCAAAAACGGGACACGCTCATAACCAATCCCACTGTCGCTCCTTGAACGAAGAGCGTCAGTCGTCATTGGCCTTGCGTTGCACCGGACTGAGTCCTAGTTTTAGCCCGGAAAAGAACTGCGACGAGAAGTCGGGTCGCGTTAGATTAGATCTCCGGGCTCCAAGCGGGTAGCGAACAAAAGAGGAAATGTTATCACGCTTCGTTCACGACAAGCTTACTTCAGACTTCCGCTGGAGGCGTCCGTGATCTCCGGTGTTCAACACACAAATATGCAAGGGAAATCAGCTCTTTGGTGCACTTTTGTGATGACAATTTAGGACGAGCTTCAAAGCATGGTAAATGTGTGGAAAAGATATGCTGATGTATCTTAGTATCAGTTGCCTCCCGTGCTCCATTTAATGTGTCCCTATCGTGTGTAACATTTTCCGCAAATTGTGTGTGCATATCGGTTTTACTTTTTCCTTGAAACAATTTTCTTCAACAGATTAAGCTGTCAGAAGTTTATGTTATGTTTGATGCATGTGTATGATTGGTGATTGAATTCCAACGTAGTCATTTATTCTCAGCATACTTGGCATCACTGCATCTTTTTCTGGTGGTTCAAAGTATATTCCCGCATGTCAATTGAGTTTATTTTGTGCCTAAAGCAATGCTTATCCGGAGAAATAACGCCCGTCTGTCACACTGTCTTCCCTTCAAACGACCAGGGTCGTGTTTCTTCATCGTTTTTCTTTCGAATGTGGTTTCGAATATGTTTGGCTTTTGGACAACCTATGTAATATTCCCCCTTTCAAAGTGAAAAGTTTTTGACCGACTCAGATACAGACTTACCCACGCAGAACGTGCGTGCACTCCACGCCCCGAATCCACTGTCTTATCCCTGGCCAATAGCAAAACACGAACGCTAACAAAACCTAAGGAGCTTTCCTTCGTTCGCTCCTATTCAAATCTGGCGACTGAGGGGAAAGGATGGGGAGTCACTTACTTGCTGCTTGCGAATGTGAGACTACAAATCACAATAATCCAATGGTAGTGCCCGATTCCTGGTATTTTGGACAGAAAATCTAGAACTCATCGTTCTTGGCACCTTACGCGAATACGACCCACTCTATGTCACCAATGCCAATTAAAGTGGAATTTATTTGGCAGCTCCAACAGCTTGAGGGGGTAACACACGCACAATTTACGACGTTCCTGAGCTGCCGGAAATTCGCTGAAGCGCTGAACTAAAATGCATCAATGGGCTAATTTAGGTACGTGAGTAGCTCTTTACGCTTGCCTTAAGCTCATTACTGATATATGTTGTGTCAAATACATTTTCCCTCTGGCTAACGCAGTTTATAGAATGTTCGAAGCTCGGTGTAAGGATGGTTAACGAGAATGGCAACGCAAAACGCCACAGGGAAGCCCGTATAGCCTGACGCAGCAAAAAAAATTGTCATTCTTTAGACAGCATCATGCAACCAACGTTAAGATACATTTCGTCCATATTTCTGGGGAAAATCGGCTGAAGGATGTAATTAAACGTCCAGGACGAGAAGTCGCGGCTCTGCAAAGAAAAGTGCACATTTAATTTACTTTAATAGGTAATCCAGGACAGACGAGATTTCATGGCGGTGCACAATGGGCAGAAATAAGGAAAAAGCCCAGCAATCACTGCTTGCGTCTTTACAAGTCAAGGGCGGAGGCTAACTGCTTCAAACATACTCACTCTACAAACGTTATTTTCACCATTGCCGCCCTACGAAGTCAGAACAGCCTCAGTGATCCCCCTCCCCCCAATTTAAAAAAAAAAACGTTCCACCTTTACATGGGATTTTGAACTGAAATAGCCAACTTGAGGACCTTTTCATGCAATTCATGGCCATGCTCCTTTTAAGGCCCAAAGCCCTCTGGTTCCTGAGTTAAACGCCTGCGAAAGTGCAAAAAGGTTTATTGAGAGACCACCTCAGTCACCGTGGCATTGATGTCGTCATAGAAACGTCATAGGATTGCCGTTATATTGCAGGCCGTTTTCTGCTTATGGCCAAAAGCATGACCGCTGGTACATTTGTAAGTGTGATGATACGGCACGTATGATACAATCCGCGGAAGGTGATTGGCTGTTTAGCTGTTTGTAAGATTTCGCTGCTGATTGCGTGTCGCGAACGTAAGTGTGAGCACTTTCGGGTTGTGCGGCATCCGTCGCCAACGGATCTTTGTTTTTCTTATTTCTAGATGAGAAGTCAATGTTATGAAAAGAGAACGCTGCAGTCTGCAAAAAAGTACAACACCAAAAAAAGAACGGCACTCACCCGAATATCATGGCGGTCGGCTGCACCTGCTCCTGATTGGTCTGACGTTACAATACGAACGCTGCGGCTGTCGGCCGGTACCGCCAGCTGCAGCGCCCCAGAAAAGAAGCCGAAACTTCCGGCTTGTGGTTTCTGAATGTGTTTGTAATTGACCGTAGTATGAAACTGGACCACCGTTTTCTATGAGCCTCCCAACAGGTGTCAAATGCAGACCTCGGTACAATAATTGGCGGCTCCAGAGGGATAGAGCGGAATGCGCTAACGACGCCGTGCTTTACTGTATCGCTTCGGCGCTGTCATGGGGGCTTTTTTCACCTGGCGGTCGACGTGTCGGCCTCCCCTGCTGATACAGAGTAGGCACTGGCTAGCATCGAATGCGAGAAGAGATTGGTCCGGGGCGGGATGAGACGCCCTCTTATCTGCCTGCTACCCGATCCTTATCCTCGTTTCATTTCCACCGACATTGGGTCTACCGTTGCGGTGGGGGAACAGTTGACCCTCCAGCCTGTCACTTCTTCCGACGGGGAGCGGGCATCCCCCGAGCTCCCCGACCTGAAACGAGCGAACTGAGAAAATGAGTCGGCTCCCATCCTGCCGAAACTGAAGGGATCGCTTGATGGGCCACCTGTCCTGACGCTTCCTATTTCTCGGCTTTAGAAGTTTTTACTTGCCCAGATCGCTGTCATTATCATGGAGTTAGCCCTTTTAAGCAAAGTTGTTGACAGATCGTGTCCATGTTAAGCTTGAAACGTTGGACTGCATTAACGCCGAGTTACGGTGTACACGGCATGATTCCTTGATGTAACCAGGACAGAGGCGAAGCACTTTGCAGCAGCGGGGATACTTCCGCGGAACAGCAATTTGTTGTAAATGACATGGGAGCAAGCTGACTCGATGATTGGTCCGGAGGTGCTGCGTCCCAGCACCTGTCACGCCGCGCCACTCTTGCCTGCACGCCGCCAGCTGGCCGGGGAGCCACCTACCTCCTACTGACGGGGAGGCGGCTGCCCTTGCCTGCACGCCGCCAGCTGGCCGGGGAGCCACCTACCTCCTACTGACGGGGAGGCGGCTGCCGCCATTATAAGCACGCGGCACATGGCCGCAGACCTCAAACGTGCTAAGGCTCCCGCAATGCTCAGCGTCGCCGAAAACATTACAACTCGGCCCAACAGCCGTTGGACGGGACTGCAGAAGCCATGTAAATGAGCGGAAACTAATCACCGACTTCTGGCGAAAAGGTGGCCGTTTCGCGTTGGCGGTTATGAACTGGCTCGTGTCTCTACTACCCAGCACCAGCGGGCGTCTACCCTGTTGCTCTGGTCCCCATCTCTCATCACATGCGTTGGTATTCACCCACAAATCTTTGTGAAAAAGTAGCTGTCAAAAGAAGCATCAAGCAGCCCGTTATCGGCGTTTGTAGAGTTGCTGCACGGTATCTAGATAAAGTGTCCCCATTTATCCTTACGATGCTTAACTGGCGACCTCGGATGATCGAGCTGGAGTAGTTCAGGTACATTCAATAACCACTCTTGTTTTGCTGCACATGATTTAGAGCCATACCCTGCATAAGTTACGAGCATTCCGTGAGGTTTCTGGTTTGGCTTTCCGACCCACCCTGTTCATAGATGTCTACTTTCTCTCTACTCGCTCTGGAACGTGTTCGAATCCGCAGCTGGGGGGGGGGGGGGGGGGAGAGGATATCGTCACGATATCCTCGGATATCGTGACGATCGTCGCGACCATTTTTAACCGCCATCATATTTTCACCTGCTGGCAAGCGACTTCCCAGTCGCAAAATATGCGCTCTGCGCGGTCCCATTAACAACACAAGGATTGGTAAATCGCACTGGGAATTGCAGGATTTCTTACAGGCGGATCAACAACTTGAAGGGCGGGCAACCAAAAATAACAAGGGAGACGAAATTACATGACGTCCTGATACGTCCCGCACACTCCTGCAGATGATACAGATGATACAGATGATAATATCTGCTACGATGAGTGGATACTCCCACAGAACAACACAGAATGACCGTGGTTAATTTAAAACTGTGCAGGAAACATGGTGCATAGCCTTAAAGTCTGGACTAAGAAATAGACCAACAAAAGAGAATATGACTGGTTGATTACATTACTGAGAGATCATCATGATGAACTACTAAAGATACCAAAAAAGCAAGAAAAAAAACACAGCTGCCAGCTGAAGAGGGGATTAGGGTATATGTGGCCTTGAAAAAAGAACACTTTCATTCTCAAAATGGGCCAATAGGTTCTACACGGAGCGACTTTGCTCCTTAGTTCACCTGGATATGGCGGAAAATGCAGGGCAGTGAACGAGCAGCGAGAACTATGCTTTCGAAAATTGAATAGATGGGGAGGATAACTAGGAACCGAACATCACTACCTTGATCCTATGATACAGCATTAACATAGAAAATGGTTAAGCGATGTCCCTACCTCAGAAGAACAGATACTCCCTGTTGTCATTGCAGTGGAAGACTGTTCTTCGTCGCGAAGTGCGGAATTACTGAAACATTCCATCACAAGAGCGTCCTCAGAAAAACCGATGCATTGTCCCATGCACTGTGGCGGTCAATCATGGAAAATGTAAGCCAAAGGATGTAACTGACGGCCGTCGGCCAAACGGCTTGCTAAACGCACTTAATCGCGTGCTTATTTAAGATTTGTTGAGAAAACTTTGTTAAGTCTTTGTGACGTTATCAGCGGGGACCAGGCAGGTTTATCAGTGGAGTTTTCTTGCAAACGTTAAGCTCATTTTGGATTTAATCGCCAAAACAAGACAATTTTTCGCGCACCTTCCTTCTGGACCTTCCGGGAGTAAATCAACCACAAAAAGGAGAAAATTCCCGGTGAGATGTGAATGGAATCGTGTGAAGGAAATGATGGGTAGCTTCGGTTTTGTATAAGGCTTGTGCAGATGGATCAACATTATTCATTCAACAAGATTAGACAGAAGCTCCTCAGCAAGCACCCAATCAACGCGTATTTGTGGCTGGAATGTAGCATGCAAAGAGATCAGGTTTGGGCTGTAGCTTAGGCAGTATACTGTTTCTGCTCACGATCAAGCCGCTGCCACAGCCGGCAAGGAAACGTATTTAACATACAAAAAATATCAGCATACTGGGATATATTTATTGCTATTACGCATAGGTTCCAGGCTACGGAAACGCATGAAATGTTGGGAGGTATGGGATCCCATAATGGCAGGCCACTGACACATGGCGTCACGACCGGGCGGTAATGTAGTGTGTGACGTCACACCGGGTCGGCGCGGGGGGGGGAGCTCACCTCGCCCGGCTTGACGGCGCTCCAGTCGGGGTAGGCGTGGCCGAACACGTTCAGCCGGGCGATGCCACCGTCCGGGTAGGCGTTCAGTCGCACCACATTGTAGACGCTCCTGTCGCTGACCGGCACGAAGTTGTGCCGCGACGGCTTGTAGCCCGGCCGCAGGCGACTCATGGGCGTGATACGCGTCCAGCGCTGAAGGCACAGACGGTATGATAGATACTCTGCAGCGCTGGTGACTCATGGGCGTGGCGAACGTCCAACTCTCAAGGCACAGACGGTATGATAGATACTCTGCAGCGCTGGTGACTCATGGGCGTGGCGAACGTCCAACTCTCAAGGCACAGACGGCATGGTAGATACTCTGCAGCGCTGGTGACTCATGGGCGTGGCGAACGTCCAACTCTCAAGGCACAGACGGCATGGCAGATAGTCTGTAACGCTGGTGACTCATAGGCGTGGCAAACGTCCAGAGCTCAAGGCACAGACGGCATGGTAGATAGTCAGCACCGCTGGAGGGCACGTATGACGCGCCCATTGTGTTTATTGAAAGCACTTTTTAAGAAACATGTCATCTGAAGAAACATATCCTTGCGTCTTAACAAGCGAATGCCACGCTTTTTGCCACGAAATAAAATATGATCTATTATGAGCTAGATCGGTGTAAATTGTGTTGTTTTTACAAAGCGTGACTGGCCGGGCGAGACCTTCGGAGCTACAAAATCATCGGTTTGCTGGTGTTATGGCACCGCTAGGTCTGCGGTCGCACTCGTAGCCAAAACATATTGATGCCTACTAGATTAACTTCCACGTTGAACCCCATACAATACTGCAAATGCCCCTAATGTTGAAGCATTCCGTCGATTTGTCTTCAGCTCTCCAGAGATCCCGCGAGCTGCACCATATCCACGTTTGCCTATTCTCATCACTAGCAGATCCCGATTATGCCATGGCCCCTGAACGCTGATACGATCCTGCGGTGACTGGCGCCCCACGGCAGCGTTCGTCGTCTGTGTCGCGTTCCGTCTTGTTCTTGTTGTTAAATAGCGTCAGTAGCCAGCGGTTCACCAGACGCCAACCAGGCCCGGATCGGGCCGATCACCGGGCCCGGTTATCGCAAGGACGTTCCTAATCATGGGACCTAATCATAATGGGGACCCGGTCAGGCCCATGAACTGAAATAACATGAAAAAGAACTGTAGTCTGAACTATTGCTGTACAATACCTTGCGTGCATATGTTGATAAGAGTGGCCATATTAAATCATTTTCTAAGAAGTATTTTATAAGTAGCTTTGTATGGATTACTTTGGCATAAATAAGCACAAACGTAAGTTTAGGTGTAACTTTTCCTGAACAAATCGTCACCAATTCATATATTCAATCGTCACCTGGAAAACCGCAATAGGGTGGGTAACGAGCGAGTAAAACTGATCAGCAATGGTTACCGAGTGGATTGGGGAAGACATCATCGTACGTGAAGGCCCTTTATATACATTCAGCCTCAGCCTCGCACCTTTCACCCGTGGCGCTGTCCCTTTTCCTGAATTTGTAGGCACGTTGCTTGGAGTTTTTCCTTCGGCATTTTAAAATGTTCTTTACCCGAACTGAGGTTGCCAAAGACAAAATGGTACACAAAGCAGTTTTCCGAATAGTTTGAAAACAAAACCAACAGCACGAAGCTTTGCATTTTATTACCTTACAGGATACATGCGATATGTGTCCTCAAATCACGTAATAGAATGGCGCGATATGTGCCATCAAATCGCGTAATCAAATTACAATTACGTGTCCTGTACAAATCAAGTAGAGTGACGACGTGTTTTTCACTTTATATACAAGATGTTATTGGGTTGGGTCTTTATCCCATCCCATATCACATCCCATCCCAAAATATCAGATATAGAAAACCGTTAGCAGGGTGCATGATAATACTTCGCCTATTGCGGAGTACCTTCCAAGGAGAACGGTACGTTAGTTGTTTGCACTGAGCAGACATTTATCTTAACGACCTTTTTGCTGGATTTACGAAATTTGAGAGGAAACACTAGGTGGAAATTATGGCAACAGGGTCTCTCAGTACCAGTTGGTCGACTATCGAGTGCACGAACATTTACCTATTTCAGAAGCCTGCAAGCCTGCAAGACCGTTCATGTGGACAAGCCTGATTCGGGCCTCGCGAGTCAAATGCCTCTGGCGGTTTCAAACGGGCGTTTTCAGCGCGAATAATGCCAGCAGTGTTTAGTGCGATTCGTTTTTTGAATTAGGAGCCATCCGGCCGGCCCTGAAGGCACAGCCTACCGTTCATGCCCACTGCCGTGTGTTATCAAGTGTCGCTGTGTGCTCGGGGCTAAAAAGAGCACCATCGTACTTCCGTGAGTTCACACACCGCTGCACGTGACTACCGCCCCCCCCCCCCCCCCCCGCTGGACCAGCTGAACGACATTCCACTACCTACCTCTGTTTTGAGAGACTTCACTGTCTTCAGTTCATGGTCTTCAGCTGCCTTTCCCGCCCCCGTCGCCCGCGGTGGAAACTTCGCGAACTCTGTCAAGAAAAGAGTTTAAATCAGTTTCGAATGCAACGAACGGCGTTCCCACATTCTGAGGTTAGCGATATATCTAATACCAATGCCCCCCTCATGCTAAGCTGCTGAAGTAAACTGAAAATGCGAAAAACAAAAAAACAGCTTTTCGACCCCATCAAGTCCTGAATAACTGAGACATTGCAACCGTTGTGTTTCATCTTAGTCTTAGCGTTATGGATTAAAACCTGCGAAAACAGAAGTGACAAGCACATGTATAGGGGTCATACTCACATCATACTTTTGCTGAACCATTACAGCATAAAAAGCTTACGGAAAAAGGAAGCCACCGAGACAAAAAATATGGCGTAAGCTTTCTGACTATTTCATTCGAAAACGTTTTCGGTGGCGCAATCTCCTTTACGCCGGCGGTGCCAGAACACCGGATACACTCTAGGTGTTTCATTCAAAGTTGTGTTTTATTCACATCTGGCGAAAGTACTGGTTTTGCCGATTTTAGTTTGCCAATGAGTTTCAGACTGGTACCGACATGGTGACAAAAGAAGGTTTTCGGAACAGATCGGTTTATTGCTTACCTGCATACTGCATATGCATACTGCATACTGCATACCTGCATACCTGCATACTGCATACTGCATATTGACTGCATATGAAGAACCGTACCCAATATTCATACTCATATATATGTGAATATTGAATGACAAACTTAGAGTTGTGCGATCGACTTGTCTTTTGTGATTGCGTTAAAGCCAAAAAGTCACATGTATTACGGAAATTCAGTGGTCTGAGGGAAGTCTATCCCGAAATACCTTTGGCTCGAATCCAGTGGCATAGAAAGGGGTCCATTTCAGTCTAGAGGTCCCTCATCGTCGCAACAGGGACCGTGTTTTATATCTGGAAGACCTTCCTAAGGACATGTTTTATGCCTCGAGGAGCAGTTTTTCATGTTACAGAAGACATGCCGGTATCTTAATCTGCCAGGCAGTACAGAGGCCTTTATTTCCAGGAGGCGCTGCCACCTCCAGAGGAAAGGTGGGGGGGGGGGGGGGGTCCCCCGTCCCACCTACGCTTGTGCTCGAGTCTGCTGTCCGAATTGCCGGAAAGTGAACAATTTGTGGCACGGTGCAAAGCCGGATTTTTCGTGACCATATTGAAGTGCTTGATCAAAATTTGATTTTTGCACTAACTTAAGTTAACGACACTTTTCACTTACTGCATAACGTGTAATTTTTTGTTTCGATCAAGCGCTCCAGTAGTCTTCTTGATCACTTGCGCTTTCACTAAATACACATCGCATATAAAGGTAGCTTGGCACACCTGTGTTTTATATTAAGTTTCTACTGCCAACTTTTCTTTCCTGACATAGTCACAAGTGCATCTTCATAACCGATGGCGCTTATAAGTCTGCTTGTCAAGTCATAACGGTTCACACTGCCTTGCACGAGACCGCAACGTGCATGCAGAGAAAAACCAGCAGTGGTTTCCAGCAGGAGATTCGCGCGAAACAAGGCGTTGCGCACTTCCATGCAGCACACGATTTGCGACTTCGGGCAGGAATTTGCAGCGTTGCTGCATTCAGAACTCAGCTGACAAATCTACGGCCTCGTCAGCACGGCGTGCTCTTGTTAGCCTGTTAGCTCTCGGGAGAACACCGGTCTGCAGTACTATGTTACCTTCCTTGGAGAGCAGGGCTGCTTGCAAGGACACCCGAGGCACGTAGTTGCCGGTGAAGAAAGCTGTGTCGAAGTCCACTCCGTAAATGACGGCTGGCATGGCTGCGGGCAGACGGACTGTTCTGGGCCTGGCCGGCGATTAAGATCAATGCTCTGAGAACTCCGCCAGTAGACATAGTGGAGAAGCTTTGCTTTTGAACATTTTGAGCACTAGGCGTTGTTTGGCTTCATCCATTGTGGTTCAGCTTGCATCAGCTGTAACCATGTTACTGGATGAAGGTAACAATTAAGTTCATTAATCGCACAATTAGTTAGTTCTGAGCTATTGGTATAATTCAAATGATTTCGCACACATGGACTGCACCATGCAATATACTTTAAATGTCCAACGAACCACGTCAGAACTTTAATAACATCAAACAAAACGTCTGAGGAAATACGCCATTTCTCACCCGCATCAGCCCATTCGGTAAACACTTTTGTGGCTGCTGTCCTCGCTATAGTTACTAATTGGATTCCATATGCGAGAAAATCCCAAACACTTTAAACTCCCATAGGAACTCGGACGCACAGGGGCAAAAAACTTCGGAATCTTTTGGACAGCCGACATCAGTTTTTATTCTCCCAAGGTGGCACGCATCTCGACTTATTAAATGCTGCTCGTGTTCAAAATCATTTGACTCTCGAACAAAAGCACGTTGTTTATGGAGCCCACCAAAAATATTACTATTTCAAACACGCGACAAATGTTTTTGCACATGAGGGTATTTATAGAAAGAACACCAATATTAACGTCTTCAGGAGAGCCCGTGATGCTCACGGCCTACCTTGATACGAACCGTCACCGCTCACCAGACGACTAAGCTGCCTTCACCGAGCTCAGTGACGATCACGCTTTGCGGACAGCGGTGTGAACTGTGAGTTAGGCTTGTTTTCACGAAAGCCTGTACTATACGTAAGGTACCTGCCCGCGATCATTTCTTTTCTTTTCATTCCATTCGAGTGATGAATGTAGCGGCAAGAGTATTGACTGGGATTAAAAGTATAAGGTAGTGCTTATTTAAAGTTGAAAGCAAACATAGAAACTTATGACACACTTCTTTGGATAACCAGACTTTTTAGACTCTTTTTTGACCGACCCGTGGTCCACACTTAGCATTTCATTGGACTTTGGACAAAAACTTCCATAAAACGGCATTTCTAGTCCTAACCAATGCACAACTTGTGACGGTTTTGATCCGTAATATGTCGTGCGAGCACTCGAGTAAGTGATGTACTGCGGGCTAAACATGCAGATGTGATCAGTTTGATTTGGTTTTTTCATCGATGTTGGACGTACATCTATTTGGGCACTTTTCAAAAAGGCATTTTATGCTGCATAGACCTAAACAAACACACCTTGCATTTTAGCCTTAATCCCCTCCCTTGAAGCATCTTCAGCTCGCTCTACAATGATACATGTTTGTGATCAGGTGCGTCACTTTGTATACTTTGGGGGCCTAACCGCCCCCCCCCCCCCCTCCAGTCATGATTTGATCCCGCCATGCTTCTTTGAGCCCCAGCGCCTGAGCCCAAAAATGGAATACCGGGCCAATAAAACGGGGCGTATGAAATGCTGACATGCTAAGCATCTTACGCATAACTATCAATATGATCATTATCATGCATCCTCATTATCGCTACCAAAACAAACTCAAAGGGGAAGTCTCTCCTTAATGAACGGACCCAATTTTTCATGCATTTTAATTTGTACATCAGATATGTCAAACAAAGTGACCACAATGCGAGGAGTATTAAGGACTTCGGGGTAGGTTGCGGTAACTTAACTGCCTCAACCCTATCCGATTTTAGAAAGATATACCCCTGCGTGTACTGTGAGATTGCTGTGTAGCGGCTCACTCGTATCCCCTGCGTGTACTGTGAGATTGCTATGTAGCTGCTCACACGTATCCTCAGCGTGTACTGTGAGATTGCTACGTAGCGGCTCCCACGTATCCAATACGTGTACTGTGAGATTGCTGTATAGCTGCTCACGCGTATCCCCAGCGTGTTCTGTGAGATTGCTACGTAGCGGCTCACACGTATCCAATACGTGTACTGTGAGATTGCTATGTGGCTGCTCACACGTATCCCCAGCGTGTACTGTGAGGTTGCTCTGTAGCGGCTCACACGTATCCAATACGTGCTCTGTGATATTGCTATGTAGCGGCTCACACGTATCCAATACGTGTTCTGTGATATTGCTATGTGAAGGCTCACACGTATCCAATACGTGTGCTGTGAGATTGCTATGTGAAGGCTCACACGTATCCAATACGTGTACAGTGAGATTGCTATGTGGCTGCTCACACATATCCCCAGCGTGTACTGTGAGGTTGCTCTGTAGCGGCTCACACGTATCCAATACGTGTTCTGTGAGATTGCTATGTGAAGGCTCACACGTATCCAATACGTGTACTGTGAGATTGCTATGTGGCTGCTCACACGTATCCCCAGCGTGTACTGTGAGGTTGCTCTGTAGCGGCTCACACGTATCCAATACGTGTTCTGTGAGATTGCTATGTAGCGGCTCACACGTATCCAATACGTGTTCTGTGAGATTGCTATGTAGCGGCTCACACGTATCCAATACGTGTTCTGTGAGATTGCTATGTAGCGGCTCACACGTATCCAATACGTGTTCTGTGAGATTGCTATGTAGCGGCTCACACGTATCCAATACGTGTTCTGTGAGATTGCTATGTAGCGGCTCACACGCATCCAATACGTGTTCTGTGAGATTGCTATGTAGCGGCTCACACGTATCCAATACGTGTTCTGTGAGATTGCCATGTAGCGGCTCACACGTGCCTTGTGCGCGCCGTGCGGTCTTACCGAGCTTAATGATGCACCAGTCGTGGCCTGGAATGCGCTTCCGTCTCGTCTCCCATCCGTCCATCCACTTCCCCTCGCTCGTGAAAAGCCCGTCTTTGAAGACAGGCTCAGTCGTCTGGAGCAAAAACACGACACAAACATGTACACCAGCATTCGGGACCTGATCTCGGCCCGTTCTTGCCCTAGATGAGACCCAGATCAGTGAAAGACGGATCAGCTCCGGATTATTGAATTGTAACCCATGGCACGGCGCTTCACTGCTCAAAACAAATGATTATTGGTGAGCAAGGTTCACCACGCCGCCTTACACCATGTTAACGAACAAAATGTTAACAATTTTGCCGTCCCCTTTTATTTGAACGCAACAGCGAGTCCGAGTCCCAAAAAGCTGTTGCAAGAGAAGCCGCATCCCAAGCATGCCTCGCTTCAGCAGTGAGATGTTTAATTTCACTACCCGGGCTGGCTCGCGAACGAGCGCCGAGACGTTACGCGATCTCTGCAACCACAGTGGGAATATACCTCCTTTCCAGGAAAAGCGTGGCAATATTTTTCTTTCTGACCGTACGTTTACATAACTTTCCGCAACACAAAAAAGTTAGTAATTTGGATCTTTTCGGAAAATATGAGCTGAAACTGGCCCCCATGCCTTGAATCAGTGTTGCAGTGGTAAGGTATATTACACATGAATAAATATATCAATATAGACGAACATGCATGTCAAGGTGTACTGTAATACAACATTTGTTTATAAACACCCGCACCAATATGTTGTACAACTAATTATCTGGTTGCAGGTATACCGCAACATTGTAAGGCTCGAAAACGTTAACTATCAAACCAGCGGACAGAGCTGCCCAGATTCCACGTTGTTTTGTCATGGCATTGCAAGTCAACAGTGCGCAATGTGCTGGTCTTCTCACGACATCGACCTGGTATCGAGGATCGTGTTGTCTTGCCGGCTCGACTTTCCCGCACCGAATTAGTGATTCAGCCAGCATCTGCCTGCGGCCCGCATTCGTCCTGACGCGGCCCGCACGACGCCCGGGGGCAGGGCTGCTCCGCCAGCGGCGAGCGACGGTGTCGCCGCAGGGACTGGCGTGGCCTGTACGGCGCTCCGGGGCAGGGCTGCTCCGCCAGCGGCGAGCGACGGTGTCAGCGCAGGGACTGGCGTGGCCTGTACGCCTCGTGTGGGGAGAGCGGTCGGAGGCTCGTCAAACGGCCCCGTCACCACCATCTCCGTTGGCCCTTCGCAGGTGGCCGCTTTGTTGTTCGAGCGGTTGGGTGCGTGAGCGCTATCGCTCGGCACGGAAACTAGCTATATGGTGCAGGCACCGTCTGTCGTATGTAATTGAAAAGAGATTCCTTTTGTATTGTGAAGACGGGCGCAGATGGATTTTCTTGGGGGGTGGGGGGGGGGGGCAGAGGTCAGCAGGAGTTGATCAAAAGAAAACAAACGAAGGTCGTAAGTTAAGACTGCTTGAGATGTATCTGCTTAAATTCCATGGATCTCTTTCATCGTTCAATCAAAAGTGCATGGGATGAGATATTGCAGTTGTGACCGCTCAGAGTATCACAGCGATGGTTACATTCGCCGTATTTTGAGTATGTGCCAGACACATGCACATATGTACATGGGTATGCATCTAACTCGAACTGCCCGCATAGCTTGGACAACTCTCGACACATTTGTCCGCACACATCAGCTACTGAGACCATGGACAACTCTATTCAAGTGGTTATGTTTCAATTGGCTGTTGCGCAAATGCGCCCGAGAACTGCCCATTCTTGTAAAAGTTGTCTTCTCCCTCATTTGTTAAGACTTGAACTATGTGGGAGGATCCCAGCAGGACACGCCCTCGTTGATGTATCGTCAGCACATTTTTATATTTCTAGCATGCTCTAGCCCCGAGATCCGAAACACGAAGACCAAAAACTGGTGAAGAAAAGTTGGTGACGACGCGTGCCGCAGGACCCTCACGGTCCTAGCGAACAGCATACACCAAATGGCTATACATGGGGTAGCTCCTGTTGAGGTCATACTTCCGTAAAACTGATTGGGGAGCTACTCCGCCGTGGGTCAGTCAAGTTAGGGAGGTATTAATCCTGCCTTCGGATTTTTAGTCGTTTCTGATATTCATAGTTAGTTTCTCATCGTTCTGCCTTAATTTTTCGTAGGCATAGTATATAACGTTGGGGTCCCTTTTCAAACTGGGTGGGAAGGAGCCGAGCTGGGACAATGGTTGGCATTGCTGGCGTCGCCGCACCAGTCTGCGGCCAAAGCCGGCTGTGAGCCGGAACGATGAAAATGAATGTTCATTGGTCGACATACATACGATAAGTACGATACCTTCCAATGCATGAAAGCAGCGAGACGATGGCGATCGAGAATCCTGTCATTAGGAGATGAAAGTCAAAGCCAAGTGAATATGAAGAGCCTGGTGCCCTAGAGCGCGCCACTAAACGAGTCATGATACGTGAATGCAATCTCATGTGAGTTTACCAACGGAAGGGCTGGCGTGGTATTCGAGAGCTTGTTCAAGATTCCAATTGCTTAAAAATTGGCTCGCCAGAGACACGGCCAGCTCTGGAGAATTTCAGAAACGGAACAGATCACTTAAAAATCATTTATATGTCGATACGATGACTTTATTTAACACTAACGGTACCTTAAGGAATATTCGTCATAGAAAATCGTGCTGCAGGCTTGTTAAATTTTATTGGAATGCGTCGTTTTTTCCATACACAAAACGCGACAAAAAGCAACACGAGACTTATCATTGATTTAAACATAAGACTCATTATCGATCTGATTCCAAGCCTTTCAAGCACCGTTAAGTCAGCACATCTAAAGCTGCTCTGCTGAACACCTGGTCACATCACCTGGGCCCGCTCTATAGCTGCTCTGCTGAACACCTGGTCACAACACCTGGTCACAACACCTGGGCTCCCCTTCGAGCCGTGTTAAATTTACAAAGTGATGAATTTGTTTCGTAAGTTTTTGTCTGACCTCGACCACCGACGGACGTGTATCGAGGTCGTGCTGCGTGTGCCGGGCGGATCGTGCGCTCGGGCCCGGTCACGCGCCTCTGCAGGACAGCTGCCGTTCGGGCTGTTTTCAGCTAAAAGCGACAAAGAGTTAACACTAAACCACAACATGGCTTCCAGCTGGACCACTCATCGACCTAAAGAAGTGAATGATTTCATGATGGAAGAGGCATCAAATGTGGTCAGAGAATCAAGAACACACATGGGAGTCGTCTGGGAGTGAGTGAGGACCCTCTTTCATCCGCTCAGGACATCATCTCGAGCGTAGGCAATCGGCAAAGTTCAGCCAACGTAGAGCTATTAAAGTTTAAGAAAAGGTGTTGACCTGAGACGGGGACTGAAACAGATGGAATTCTACGAGGACTGCTGATGACTGATTTGCTCGGTACCGAGCATACGGCCCCAACCGGAAAGGCGAGGCGAGGGGATAACTAGTGGCCACAAACGCATGAGGTGTAGTTTGAGCCAGAGTCAGAACGCGCAACGCCTAGCTTTTGTGTTTTTTGCTGAGTGATCTTTTGATGTGACGGGGTTCTCCAACAAAAATTTGAATTGAGGAAAGTGTAAAAAAGTTAAACAAAAAATTCAAGGAAATAGTCCAAAGGGATGCAAAATTTATGTAAAAAATAGTCGAACGGAAATGAAGTAATCAAAAGAGGCGAAAGGAAAAAGTTGGAAAGAGTCTACAGGGATAAAACCGACGGTGTTACATGACTTGAAATTAAAAGGAAAAAAGTCAACAGGTACAAGCCCCGAATACAAAAAAATTCACACGGAAAAGTTCCATGGAGTTCAAGGTCAGATGCTCCCCAAAAAATCCCAAACCGAGTGCTGATGATAGCCTGTTTCCCAATGTTGGTTTTTGGTTCCCAATTTCTCTTTCTGAAAAATATATTTGAGATCTTTAGCTCCGGTAGGTTATTTCATAAATCTCACCTTTAGCTCCTGGATGGTATTGGTTGTTTTGCAAGCACAACACCCTGTTTCTTTGTTTTCGCCGGCTGTTTTACAAATAAAAAGGAGATGCTACTCCCTCTGGTCTTTCAACAAACTTCAGAACCTTGTTCCCGGTTCGAATTGGCTGGACAAAAAACGTACCCCAGCTTCCTGGTTTTCACCGGTTCTTTTCCAAACACCTGGCTCTGTTCACGATTCACACTGGCATTTTGGTTCTACCGGTCAAGTGTTTTGTGGTCTTTAGTTCCTGTTGACTTTCATGCCTTTTGTTTTTTTCATTCATTTTCTATCCCTGTCGAGTGATGACTGTTACTCATTTCGGCGTTTTGTCCTTTCGCCATGTTCTATTTTGGTTTTTATCTGTTGGCTTTTTCTAATCCGACTTTTGTGGACCGAATTTTTGTACGACAGCCATCTCACAGAGATACGCTGTTTAAGACCATCACCAAACCATATGTATCAATAATTTACTTATTCAAATTCCTGACGTTTCGAAGGCAAGAAATATTGGCGACACTCCTGCTAATGAAGAAAGCATGGGTGCTCTATATGCTTGCTGGATCCTGTGATCTGCTCATTCCGAATTCACCCACTCAGCCGCTCTGCAAATCTTGGATCTTGGAGCTCTCAGACAGTTGCCACGGCGGCAGAGGTGGTCGCGCGGTGCAAAGGCAGCCTCAATCTCGGGAACTGACCAGCGCCAGCCTAAACAAACCAGCCTGAGCCAAGCGCGGGTGAAGCCCACCCCTGAACGGTGGGCGTAACAGCTGGCAGACCCCTTCCCGAGCCGCCTTCACGGTCGGGGGTCTGGGAACGCCCCCTGTGAGGCGGCGGCCGGATCCCGACGCGCCGCGATCGTCCGTAGCCACATTCGCCACGTGGGACGGCTGGAGGCGCCCCTACCAGCGGCCTCGGGAGCGCTCACCCCAGCCATGCTGACGGAGAGGATGCAACGGGCTCGTGACGCCTAACCTCCCGATCGGAGCGCAGTGGCCCGCCACACAGCAGGGCAGCCGAGGACACCTCCGGCTGTGACGTCAGACAACTGCTCCCCAGCTGTGGTGACCTCTGGCTGGGTACGGTCGGCTTTACCATGCCCCCGGGGTGTGTGGT